CCCCCCAAAAGTTTACGAAGATGCACTTTTAAGTCTTCAGCTGGGATAGCAGAAGAGGATAAAACAACACTGGAGGGGCGGGCGTTTGGGGAAGGAGTATGTGGCTGTTCCACACAACCTTTGATTTGCATCAAAAAGCCCAGTTAAAGAAAACGCAACATGTGGGCTCCCCATCCATTGAGATGAGTACATTTTCAGTTTTACTGCATTTAAAACATTTTCGCTCAATGCTTTAATGTGGATATGAGGTTCCTGTGATAGTGCTTGTGACATTCATAGTCTACAGATAATTACAGACATGTGTTTAAGAGTGAAGATTCCATCTTTGGCACCTTGATAGTACAAATACTGCAGTGATGAATAGAGCAGCCATTAATACAGATGATGACAGTCATATAAAAATCATTTAATGCTCTGTGTTTACATCTACTGTGGGTATACAGTTGATCTGGACTGTTAGATGAAGAGTTGTGTCATAAAGTTAACGATTTGCTATACTTAAGCTGACAAAATTCACAATCGACCAAAAATTCCTGACTGTGTGTTGGGGGAACCAGGTCTGAGTGTAGCAAGGTGCACTATTCTGGCCTGAAGCATAAAGTAACAATGCAGGTGCCAAGAAGAAACGCTAATGCAGTCAAAGAATTTTTCCAACCAGTGCTGCCAAACAGGCTTTTAAAAGCACAGACAGCCACACATTCTTATGCTACATGCAGGAAAATGTGACACAAAGTATTGCATATGTTAATATCAAGCTTGCTGCCATCATTTCTCTAAATATCCATGAAATTTTCTTATCAGTTATACATGAGGAAACAAAACCTTTTTTAATTACACAAAAATAACTATTTTGCTAAAGGAAGTATTTTCAATAAATTCCAGTGCTCTTGAAGGAAGTGTGTGCGCAGAGGGAGAAAGGGAGGGAGGAAGGGAGGGAGACGGGGAGGGAACACGTTTCTGAGTGTCGTCTTTCCCTCCAAAACCACCCAATATGGTCAACTTTGTTTTAAAGTGTTAGATTTAGGAAATTTTCCTCAGTGAGGAACAAACAGAAAGCAGAAGTCTAAACAAAAGCAAATTAAATCAAGACAAGGACATCAAGAACAAATTTGGCTTTACTTTTCGGTGGAAGTAGGTCCTATATCTAACACTGCACAAGGTTTCTTGCACAATGAAAAGAGAAGCAGAAGTCCCTTACACTGCCTCGCTTTGCCAGAGAATCACCGTAGTCTGCTGGCAAAGTCCGCTTGCTGGACTTTTTCTGCTCATGTTCAACTGCATCTTCAATTATAGGCTCAAGCCTCATCTGGACAAACACCAAAGATTGGGATCAATGTCTTTTCATTATACAAAGAAAGATTCTAATACCCTGTTTTATGTTTCTGCAATCCAATTAAACAATTGCATGACTAGCAAGATTCAAAGTTAAAGAAAATGCAAAACCCCAGCAGTGACAAAAATCAAACATTCTAGGCCCCGACTTAAACTCTTGCCAACTTGAAGGTTTTTAAAGGTCTGTTTCTGAGACCTGATTGGGATTTCAACATCTTCATTCAAGATCCCACCCAGGAAACTAATCCACTATAAAATGTACATAAAATATTTCCCCCACAAATTTCACAAAGAACATGTCGATCTACCACCCACTCTTCCCCAACCCCTCTGAAGCGAAACTCATCCTCAGAAACAGTATAATATGCAAACCTCTGCTTCTCTTCAGACACCAAATGCGGCTCTGCATTACCTCTGTGAGGATTGTGGTATCATAGGATGGCTGATACTTTTCTTTTTCGTGAGCAGTTCTCTTCTCCATCTTCTCTCGGTCAGTTTTTTGTTTCCTGTCTGCACCTTTAGGCTAAAACACAAAGTACATTATTTCATCCGTCAGACTACAACTTTACAAGTAAAACTGGGCCTTAATTACTGAAAGCCTGGTTTCCATCCCTTACCTTGAAAACTTTGATTTGGCAACTAGCTGAGTGTAGATGATCTGTGTACTCTCCATTTTCATTCTGCTTAAAGGTGTCAACCTGGATCCTAAAAGGCACTCCCTTTTCACCTCCGTGCTTCCGTGGAGTAAATTCTGTGCTGATGCAGTGTACCTAAAAAAACAATTCGAAACGGAAAGTACTGTCTGCTGAATCTTGTTCCCTCTTGGATGTCCTGTCACCTCTATAAATTCAAAATCCTTTAAAAGGAACTCCCACATACTAGCCAGATATCTGTCATGAATTTCTGACTGCTTTTAATATATGGCTTTCCTTTCACAGATCCAACTGCGTCTTTCTGAACTTTCTGGGAATAAGCCCTTCTTCTCCATTCCAATTCCTCTCCTCTAAGGTGGGACTTGGCCCGATCATGAGTCCTAGGGGCAGAATTGTGTACTTCCCCTATCTCCACATGAGAGATCCTGCTAGTAGTTTTAAGTCTACCCTGTGCTGCTCTCAGACCAAGGGTCCTGAGCTTTGCATGTGGCTCAATCCACAGCAACCCTCATCTCACCATTCAGAGCTTCCACTGTTTACCCTCTACTGCTGTTACGCCACTCTGCCCAATCATCGTACTGCTGTTCCAACCTACAAGACTTGGGACACGTTGTCTGGGGAATTTCCACTGTCCAGAAAGCCCAATACTTGTCCTACCTGTATCCATCTAAACTTATGTCAACTCTTCAAAGTTCACTGAGGATCCTGAGGGCAGTTCTCATCTTCCACCACTTTTGCCCCCTCTACTAGTACTACCATGAAGACAGCTTTAGGGCACCTTACAGGGTTAGTAACAAGACTTTGGTAATTTCTGGCTGCTACATATCCCGTCTTCTACTAACTCAAAATTAAAACTGATCTCTGCAATATGAATGTACACGACCTGAGATTTAAGGCCAGCTCTTAACATCACTTTCATCCAGAACATAACTAGTTACCCTGTTAGACAAACAGTATGAGAAAATATTCAACTAAGATGAACTACGTCCCTAGTGACTATTAATTGGAGATAATACTGGCGGACAACAAAAATTCAAAATACCAAAGATTCTTTTCCGTTCGCACAAACCAGAGCCTACTTGGGCTGGTTGGGATTAAGCAGCTGGCTTTTTCTACATGAGAGTTCTTGCTCAGTAGTTTTAAATCTACTACTTACAAATCTGAACATCCTGGGTATTAGAATTACTGTTGATTTTATTTTATATATGTTTGTTTTTAAGAAGCTGTTCACCTGGAGACATAAACTGAACATTTATGGGTGAAATGAAATGCCTGGGGTTGTTTTAAAGTATTCCACCAATAACTTAAAAATAAAAAAACTACCAATAACTATTGAAGCCAGGTGATGAGTACATAGAGAATTCATTATTATTATTCTCTTTTGGGGACATTTGAAAATTTCAGTGTTAAAATGTTTTTAAAAAATGCTAGAGAGAATCTTAAACTACACTTTATTCAATCATATCCTTTTAAATAGCAGCTTTTATTCAAGAATAATGTATTTTATGAAAAATGGAAGTTTCGATTATTGTTACTATCAATGGTAAAGTAACATTTGAATAATTCTTTACATATCAGACTGTCTTTATATGTTAGTCTGTAAAGGGTGGATTTAGTAGATTAACTGCAATTTAACTGTATATTTTTAAAAAGACATTACAGATAGTTTACAAATAAGCTTTTAAAGAAAATGATATCATGTGTCAAGAATTCAGTCTCATCCATGGCCTTCTAAATGACAAGGCTAGTATACTTCTAGTAACGCAAAAAAATCCAAACCTGAATGAAAGCAGATGTGCGTTTTGCAGGGTCCCACAGAAATTCAACCGCATTTAACTGGCTTGGATTTGTCCTTGTGTCAATTATTCCCACAGACATTGGAATATCTATATTTTAAGAAGAAGTTACACAGAAACTCATCCATTGTTAATAATTTAAAAGCTTACAACTTACTAGGTATGATTATGCTCTAATGAAAATATTATACCTCCATGCTGAACTTTTTTCTTCAATGTTCTATATGGTCAACCACTTAAACATCAAAACCCACCTAATGAGTATCATACTTTCTCCCACCATGGGTTTCTATTTCATTTTATTCAGAATACGATGGACAGTGCTAACTAAGAAGTAAATAAATGGTTTTAAACTCAAAAAAATCCCCCCCAAAACTATAGTTGGGCCTCAAACATGCTGTGAAGTGCACGGGTTCACTTATGCAAACATTTTCTTCAATAAATATTGTAAATATATTTTCTCTTCCTTATGATTTTAATAACATTTTCTTTTCTTTAGCTTACCTTATCGTAACAAAACAGTATATAACACATATAACATACAAAATATGTGTTAATGGTTTATTTCGGTAGGCTATTAGTAGTTAAGTTTTGGGGGAATCAAATTATATGAAAATTTTTGACTGCGTGGGGGTTGACACCCCTAAACCCGGGCTTGTTCAAGGGTCAACATTTTAAAATATAAAACAAGGTGCACAGGATCCACCCACACCTAAACTCTCTCCACATCATTACATGTGGTACCAATACAGGTACAGACAGCTTTCATCTCTCTCTGAATGGCCTCCTGACAGTCACTTGTACCTAAATCGAGAAGTCTGTCTCCTGGGCGATTCCATTTCCAACCTTCAAGTTGCTGATGCTCTGTATATTGTAGCCGTCTATCATGGAACACAACTCTTATGATGCTCTATGGAATAAATAGGGAAATGAGCCTTTTAAACTGTTCCACCTAAAATGCAGAACCGTGTTCACTTCTTATGCGTTTCTAGATGCCCATAAAATTCATGAGCAAGAATTACATTTCTATGAAGAAAACATCAGATGCACACAAGAATTACTAAAATGAAAAGGTGGTATAAACAGAGACTGAGAAACTCAGGCATAATGATAAAACTGTTAATTTAAAATAATAGGTAATAATTGAGTTTCTTAAAAAGACGGGGGCGGGGGGAGATCTGCCCCCCACCACCCAGCCCACCCAAAGAGAATTTATATGCAAAATTCCCTCTTAACTAACCTGAAAGTGAGGTTATCTGAGGTAAGCAAAAAAAGAAAACCACCAAGTTCCACTTTATCTAAACACTCGAGTTCCTGAGGGAAGGCTTTAACTCAGCTCCGCTAACACTAGGCCAAGTCTGTTCTCCACCGACCATCCTGCCTTCGCCTCCCACAGGCCCGGGGAGCCAGCCATTGTTTCATTCCAGGAACAAAATCAACAGGTCATCACAATGCAGTCAGATACCAGATTTGTACTAACTCGTGTTTCTGACACATTTATAAATAACTGTTTCTCAGACTATGATAGAATAATATTTCCAGTAGACTCTGCTGGTCTGAATTAGGTAAATAATTTGCTAGCAATACATATAATTACTAGTTTAGTGTTCCTGCCTTTCCCACCACCCAAGTAATAGCCAAAACATAGCTGAGAAACGTTTTTAAGGGAACCATTTAAAAGCAACATATTTTAATTTGAGGCAGTTAAAAAAGCAGCAAGTCAGTGTCAGGACCAATGTGGGAGAAGTCTAGAAAGGCCCGGTCACCGCCCCAATCCACGCCCATCCCCCCACCTGCACCTACGTCTGCAGGGCCTGCCCAGGAAGTCCACCAGGACATGCCTGCCACCACTGCCTGCTGGCAGCGAAGCCCTCACACTGAGAGTGTGTGGGGTGCTGGTGACCCCAGGTTCACATTCATCAGCAGGCTGATCTCTCAGAAGAAAGTGTAGCACAGAAAAATGGCATGATTTTGATTATTCCATACTTAGTAAGAACCAGGTTAAATCTAGATATTCAGATGAAAATCGAATGAGAATATCGATATTAGATTTAACAGCTTTATAAACCCCATTCTAGGAGGTGAGGCTGATATATACAGTGAAGAATATGAGAGAGGGACAACAGTTAAGACATTGTGGGATATAAAACTTCAGTGAAAAGAGAAAAAGTCGTTATTTGGAAGTTCTGAATGAAAGGAGACACCTAGAGAAGCAGCAACAAAGGGGCCCCAACAATCATCCAGAAACAGAACACGCAGAGGGAGCATCACTCAGCACACTCGAGTGGTTCCCAGGCACCTCTGATAACCCAGCGTTTGATCCCCAAGTCCTCCACAACAGGAGAGTCAGAGATCATGGGGTCCAGAAATTAAACACTAAGTGGTTGCAGAATATTTTAGGGATCCTCTAGCTGAAAAAGGATGTGATTTTTAAGAAATTCACCCTGTAGTTTTTGGCAGCAGACTGTAGCTCTGGATCCCAGGCAAGCTCTCTAGACATGACTGGGTGTATTCTGGCACACCCACCAAAAAGCAGACGTGTGGCAGGTGAAACTGATGTAAGATCTTTTCAGAATTAACCCTTTCCAATCTGCCAGCTAACTGGGGACACTGATGCTTTCAAAATGGTGCCCTTGTCTAGGTATAATACGCTGGTGTAACGCCAGCAGAACGCCCACTCTGCACTTAGAGCTGCACGGTCCCTCCACTGTTACCAATCTACCTCATAAGGAAGTCGTTTTTGCCTTAATTACTGGTCCCCACTGGATCATTGTCTTGCCAACCTGGAGTGGACTCCCAGATTTCTCCTTCTGACTCTCGAGATTCCCAACATACTTGGAAAAGAAGGAGAGAGGTTATTTGCCCATTCTTCCATTTGCCATCTGCATTTTGAGACTGTCATGTTTGTGTTCAATTAGTGGGTTTGGTCATTTCCATAGAGGGTGAGTTAGATGGTCTTATTTTTTTTTATTCTCTCCTATTGGCATTCTCACCTGACGTAGCAAACACTGATTGGATTTACCATTTTGGAAAGCCATCAGCATCGTTGTCAGTGACAAAGCCCTATTTGGATTCGCTGGACTCTAATGATAAATAGCTATGGCTAATAACTAACAGCTCTCATTTTCCAGTACCTGGGAAACTTAGAAATGTGAAGACATTCTCAGCATGCCGTGGTCCCAGCTGGCGTGTTGTCAGATAAGCCATCGGGTACCCAGCTCACCTTTGAACAGATCTGCCAGTTGTACTACACCTGGTTAAAATTTAACCTAGCGTATATTTTTTAAGAGAAGAAGTGATTGAATTCTGTTGTCATCAACATTACATTTGATAACTCTGATGTGCTGGGTTTGTTTTTTTTTTAAATCCATGTAAGAAGGGTTGAAAAGTTGTTTTCATCATAGATTCTTCTATAAAATGAAATAGAACTTGATGGGCCCTGTATTGAGGTCCTTAAAACTGGATTCAGAAATGTTAGAACACATTTTTTTTTTAAGTTCTTATTGTAAAATTAAAACATGCCCAGAAGTAGGGAGAATGGTCTGATGAATCCACGTGTACTTATCATGTGGGTGGCATATGATAAATGCACTTGTATAATGTGTTCTCGTAATAAGTTCTACCAGCTGCAATTGTTATCAGCAATTTGCCAGTCTTATGTATTCCCTCCTGTGCTTTCTTCATTTTTTATTTTTTGCTGGACAATAGAATTATTAATTCATTATTTTAACTCATTTTTTAAATGGTAATTTTAACTGAGTTCTTCATTCATGATTATTCAATGTTCTGAGGAAAATATAACAAACTTTGACATCTAGATCAATGCCAAAATTAAGTTTCCATCAAAGCATTGAAGATTCTGAAGTAGTTTGTCCTTTATCAGTGAAGACAAGTTGGCTTCCCTGGGAAAGATCCCTGAATAGGTGGTAAGATTTAGAAATAACCAGTCTGATAGGAGAGACTTAACGTTTAAAATATTTTTGGCAAGCTAGTAAGTATACTTGTCAGATTAACTTGGAATGGGACGGTTAAGTCGATGACTGCTTTAAGCTCAACTTCCTTGGATTTCATTCCAAATTAAAACATGTAAAAACTTGAAATACACAGAATTAATGCAAGTTAAGTAATTAAGGCAAAAACGACTTCCTTATGAGGTAGATTGGTAACAGTGGAGGGACCGTGCAGCTCTAAGTGCAGAGTGGGCGTTCTGCTGGCGTTACACCAGCGTATTATACCTAGACAAGGGCACCATTTTGAAAGCATCAGTGTCCCCAGTTAGCTGGCAGATTGGAAAGGGTTAATTCTGAAAAGATCTTACATCAGTTTCACCTGCCACACGTCTGCTTTTTGGTGGGTGTGCCAGAATACACCCAGTCATGTCTAGAGAGCTTGCCTGGGATCCAGAGCTACAGTCTGCTGCCAAAAACTACAGGGTGAATTTCTTAAAAATCACATCCTTTTTCAGCTAGAGGATCCCTAAAATATTCTGCAACCACTTAGTGTTTAATTTCTGGACCCCATGATCTCTGACTCTCCTGTTGTGGAGGACTTGGGGATCAAACGCTGGGTTATCAGAGGTGCCTGGGAACCACTCGAGTGTGCTGAGTGATGCTCCCTCTGCGTGTTCTGTTTCTGGATGATTGTTGGGGCCCCTTTGTTGCTGCTTCTCTAGGTGTCTCCTTTCATTCAGAACTTCCAAATAACGACTTTTTCTCTTTTCACTGAAGTTTTATATCCCACAATGTCTTAACTGTTGTCCCTCTCTCATATTCTTCACTGTATATATCAGCCTCACCTTCTAGAACGGGGTTTATAAAGCTGTTAAATCTTTTCCCTCAACCTCCCACAGGATTGAGGGCTTCCTGCCCCTAAATTGGAAGAGGTACTTTCAGGTCTGGGCAGTTGGTTTTCCCAGATACGCCAAATTCTCTAGCACTAGTATTAGTATCCATTCTCCTAAGAAAGCTGCCTTTCCCATGCTCACCCTCCAAAAAGGCAGATCCACAGAGGGGAGAGTATTTCCAATAGAATGCCTCTCCATACGGAGGGCCCAGCACCACCTGGGCCCTGACATGCCTCTCTGGGGAAGAGGGAAGGATCAAGAGAACTCATGCCTGCTTCTCCTTTGCTAATAATACTTAGCCACAATGAAATTTTGCCTTTTCCTAATTAAGCTTCTTCCATAAACCTTGCCCTTAATGCTATGGAATTTATAATAAACTGGAGTATATGATGGGTAGAGGCTAGAAGGACCATCCTTGCATGACACTGAGGGGGCGAGATGGTTCTGAAGATATATCCTAAAAGCAACGGGTTGGCCAGCCAACACTGACACCTCCTGAACCTGGGATGACTGACTTCTCCATTTAGACACAGCAGTGCAGAGATTTCCAATTTTACTTGAGAAATTTTAAGAGATGAAATAATACGACCTTTTAAAGTTTCATTTTACCATATTTTCCCCATTATTACTTCAAAAGAATAAAAGTTTCACAGTTGACAGTAGGGCTATCCCCTCCACAGCTGCAACTAATTTTTCTGTGGTACCTTCTCAAAGAGCTTTCACATTTACTTTACTTAGCAACTGCTATAATTTCTATTTTACAGATGAGTTAACAAAATGCAGCTTAAAAGGTTAGGAGTTTTAATACAGCCATTACTTTTTAAAGTGAAATTAAATAAATTTTTAATAACTCTTGCAGCAAAACTGCTTTTAAAAATCACTGCATTATCTCTTAGGAATTTAAAGGGACTGAACTTACCTTTACCAATTTTCCAGTGATCTCAGGCATATCTCCCATTTTCCGATTATCCAGCATCCGAATTTCATAAGACTGACCTATTTAAAGAAATTGTGTATCAAAAACAATCCATAATCAATCACTCTGTTTAACATAAAAATTTAACTGTCTCTCAAAACGTACAATTACCCAATGTTAATTTGCTAGAAAAGCAAATTCAGGTTCACCTTTCTTTCCTGCAAATTACATAATCCTTTCCTTCTTACACTGTTACAGAAGACTGAAGAGTTTCTTTGGCAATTTATTTTCATTCTCACCTGTTATTCTCTTATATTAAATTCATCTACTGCATACATGCAACGAGACCAATTTTAAATAACAGTTTTATTGATGTATTCAAAGTTGTGCAACCATCACTGCTACCAATTTTAGAACATTTGCATCACTTCCCAAAAAAACTCATACCCACTAGTAGTCACTACTTATCACTCCCATCCCCCAAGTCCCCTGCAACCAGTAATCAACCTTTCTGTCTCTAGGGATCTGTCTACTTTGGACACTTGATATAAATGGAATTGCACATGTGGCCTATAAAAACTAAACATAATGTTTCCAAGGTTCGTGCACGTTGTAGCATGTATTAGCCCTTCATTCCTTTTTTATGGCCAAATATTATGCTATTGCAAGAACATACCACATTTTGTTTATCCATTCATCAGTTAATGGACACCTGGGTTGTTTCCACTTCTCGGCTATTATGAAAAATGACACTATGGACATCTATGTACAGGTTTTTGTGTGAGCCGAGGTCAAATTTTAATCCTGTGTACAATAAACTCAACTCACATTTTTCTCACTGTTCACTTAGTGTCCATAAGAAAATACAAATAGATATTCACACACCAATCTATCTAATCAGGAAAATAAGCTGCTGCCAAAAGTTAATAACATATTTTTTTTTCTAAAAACGTAAAAGGAGTTTATTTATCTTTCATATAAGTCAGAGGTAGGCGGCCTGGGGCAGGTATAGCCAATAACACACTTTCAAACCCACAAAAATAATTCTGGATCACCTGTTATTAAATAATAAAAAGGACAGTATGGTTTGAGATACAGAAAATCAGTAGGAATTAGACGGTGCTTCTAGCACCATACAAAGTTGAAGCTCTTTATGATGTAACTACCAATATGTTATCCACACTCCAGTGAGGCTTATAAAAAATATACAAAGGGTACTAAATCATAGGTCAAATATAACAAAAGGTCATCAAAATATAACCAAACCACTCCAAGGCTGGTGAAGGAAAACAACTATATAGTATGTTACTAAGGACAATCCTTAAATTCATTCGACGGATTGAGAGAGATTAAAACTGAAAAGTACTTTCATGGCAAGAGACATTTTTAAAAAGTTAAATTTGCAGCATACTTAACGATGGATCTGAACTCAGAAAGAACAGTAAAAAATAATTTTTAAAATAAAGCATATGAATAGGTATCACTGAAAAACATGCCATTATACATTTAAAACAACACTCAACCTCGTAAAAATTAAGGACATTAAAATAAAACATTTGTGCTAATTATCAGATCAAAAAATTTTGAATTAAAAATCAAGTGGGCAAGAATGGAAGAGAAAATAAGAACATAAAATGTAGGGGGATAAAAACTAATAAAGTCTTTCTGAAAGGCAATCTGGCTGTACCTGTTAAGTTAAATACTGTATTCTTCAAATCAAGGATTCTGATTAGTCAAGACAAACAGAAAAAAATGCAAGGGGAATATCTGCAACTCATATTACACACAAAGGGCTAATCTCCCTGAAACATAGAGAACTCCTACAAAATCACTAACAAATGTCCAGCATCCCTAGAAGAAAAAAAAAATGGGCGAATGACATGAACCTGTGGTTAACGAAAGAAGGAAATGCCAACAGTTCTTAAACATATTAAAAGACATTCAACCTCCATTAGAGAAATGCAAATTAAAACCGCACTGAAACCACTTTTTGCCGTCAGGTTAGCATGAATCTCTAGTTGGTCAAGGCTGGAGGGAAACAATCACACTCACATACTGACAACAGGAGAGGAAATGAGAGTGGCAGGTGCTCTCTGCAGAGATGCTGAAGGCAGAGCCTAAGCTCTGCCTGGTGTATCAGATGTAAAGTGTGAAAGAAGAGTTGAGGATTACTCCGGGTTTTTGGCCAAGGAATCTGTTGACATGGGGTACATTGCAGGAGTAGACTTGGGGGGAAAAAATCAAGAATGCAACTGAATACATTAAGTCTGAGGTACTCTTTAGACATCCAATCAGTAATCAAGTTGATTTACAAATATGGCACTAAGAGGAAGAGATCCTTGTTGGAGATATTAATAGGAGACCTTCAGGCTACAGTTGTTAGTTAAAGCTACTTAAAGATAGGATCATCAAAGGAGTGGAGAAAAAGAGAGGGCTAAGGAACTTCTCTGGGATAAAGAGAATAACCCCCAAAAAGCAGCCAGTAAGATGGGAGATGTACAAAGTGCACAGTTTCCTGGAAGACCTATCATTTGGCTGCCAAGGAGGGAGAGAAAATTTGTCTCGTCAAGATTATCTTGTGATCCTCAAAATACCCAGGACTGAAAAAGTAAAATTAAGGAAGAAATCTCAATGGTCTTATCTTTTGTATTATTTTTCCTAGTCAACCTAACGAGCATACATCTATGCTCAATATAAAGTTCAATCTGTTTCCACAAACAGATCTCAAGATTTATTGCTCCTGTATTACAGCACTGTAGTTTATTCTAAAAGCAAGTTTTTGTTGTTTTTTTCTTAAGGTTCTCTAATATTTAAGCTTCAACTGGTTTCCCTGTTGGAAACTATACATGTCCTCAACTAATTTAGAAATTCCTCTCCACCAACAATTTTCTTCAATGGTAATACACACTAAGTGAAGTACAAGACTTTTATTGGTTTAATTTCTCCTTCTATCTGATCCCCTTCCATAATTATTTTAATAACATAGCTTCCTGAAATATCAGTCTAGGTTCTAACTGAAAAATAAAAAAGGTTCCACTATTAATGAAGTACAAAGTTCACATAAATAGCAATATTCTGAGTTACTAGTCCTATTTTTAGCTTTATCTTCTGAATTTACCTTTTATGTTTTGATTTTTTTAATCCTTTTTTGGCTTAGAAATGCAAAAGCACTGACAGAGTTGAAAAATAAAACTGTTGTGAGTTCATGTCCTCACCCATCTTCAAATACAGATTGTAGGTCTAGCATCCCCAAATGGACTCCAGATAAGATGGAGCCCAAGATGTGGCAGCCCTGAATTGGCTAAGTTGAAAGCATGTATTTCTAAGGCCCTAATATAGAACTTTAAAACAAGAACCAAAGCTAACCTCCAGGAAATCTATGGTGTAAAATGAAATTAACAAGTGACAGTCATGTGCCACGTGATGACATTTCATCAATGACAAATCACATATATAACGGTGGTCTCATAAGATTATAATGGAGCTGAAAAATTCCTATCACCTAGTGGCGCTGTAGCCATCACAATGTCCTAGCACAATGCATTACAGTAATGTCCTAGACCTTCATGTTCACTTACCACTCACTAACTCACCCAGAGCAACTTTTCTAGTTCTACAAGCCCCATTCGTGGTTAAGTGCCCTATACAAGTGTACCATTTTAAATCTGTGCCTCTTCTAAGCTTAGATACACAAATACTTACCATTGTGTTACAGCTGCCTACAGTATTCAGTACAGTAACATGCTGTACCGGTTTGTAGCCCAGAGCAATAGGCTATGCCATATAGCCTGGGTGTGTTGTAAGCTAAACCAACCAGGTTTGTGTAAATGCACTCTGTGGTGTTTGCACGACAATAAAATCACCTAACAATGCATTTTTCAGAATATATCCCCTTCATTAAGTAACACATGACTGTATTTTTTAAAATCCAACAGGCGTGCTATTTCCTAGGGCCTAAAACTTATTTGCAAAGTAGCTAATATTGGTTATTAGAGGATTCTCCAAGTAGAATATGGCTTCCAAATGAGCAGGTATTTCTGAGCCAACAGCAGCAATGAGCCAATCTGGAATAAATCCAGGGGTTGAGATCAGAAGTCTCACTCATTATGAGTGTGAAAGCACCAAAGACTCAGCTAGAGCTATAAAAGAAAGGCCAGCCTCCAGCTAAATCCTTGCTCAAAGTGAGAGTCAGCTGTGTTCACGTCACCCTCTTGTGGTTCCATGTTGGGACTACAGTTTTTCACTCCACGAAGTCAGAGATTTGACTCTTCTTGTTACCTAAGAGTAGAGGACAGCTGCTCAAGTGTAACCAGGGAAATACAAAATCGGTTTTTAAACTCTGTACTTTTGTTGTTCAAAATAGTACTAAAACTGACACTCTAAGGCATCAATACAATTTGGCAAACTTGTTCCAATTTCTACCTGACTGATGAAGTTAAGACTACACAATGTTACACAATTACACAATGGCAGATATTCTTCAGCAAGAACTGCCCAAAAGGCAGAAGGTGAGCAATTTGGAAACTCCTTTAAGAGGAAGCTACTGGCATTAACCAATCTATGGCCAAAAAACGGTGCCAACCCTCCTCTGAGAAAAACCCATCTATAAAAGGTTACGGTGAGGGGAAGCTTACATATTTGCCTGAATAGTCAAAGTAATAAAAAATTAGCACGGGTCCCCAGACTAGTAGCATCAGCATCACCTGGAAATTTGTCAGAAATGAAAATTCTCCAGCCCCATTCTAGACCTACTGAATCAGAAACTCTATATGAGGTCCATCAATTATTTTTGATAAGCCCTCTAGGTGGGTCAATCTCAATGCATGCTGAAGCTGGAGAGGCAATGTTTTATGTAAAGCCACAAATATCCAGTCAGTCACTAATATTTGCAACACAAAGCCTTCAGGAGCTTCTCCTGGGAATAATTTTATACTCAAAAAGCTGAGTAAAATGGTAAGAAGTAACCATCTTTTCTCAGTAGCTGAACAAATATTGTAGGATATATTATGATAAACAATCTTCCCAAGAGACAAATTGCCTGGTTTGGAATGGCTGATTATACATTTGCAATAAGCCACTA